TTAGTTAATTTTCAAATTGTAAAAGACACTCAGTAAACCTTGTGTTTGAAAATTAACTAACTTAGATAAACATGATAACCAACCATCACTCTTTGGGGAACCTCTATATGATAGAACATTGTTTCAAAACCAAAAAAAAAGACGATTCTAAAACTCAAAATTCTTTTTGGCAGAAATCTTGGCTGAAGATGATCACCTTTTTGGTTTGGTCTGGCGTTGTTGTTGGTCTGCTGTCTCTTCTGGGCCTCCTCCATCGCCACATTGATCTGGCTATCAGACATGGACTGCTGGGTTAACTGCTCCGCCACCATGAACGCTGCCATGCTTTCACTGGCTACAAAACAAAGTGAATCTGAAAACACCAAGCTCTCACTGTCTACAACATGAAACACATCAGTACTGGTATCACATTCTCACAAGGTACAAAACAGTTAACATCACTGTACTAAACTAAAGGTCAAATCTATCAAAGGTCAAATCTATGAAATTTTGTCCTTGACAGACAAAAACGTGATTTGGAATTTGACCTTAACTTGTGACATTGACCTTCTGATCCTGAAAATGGATCAACTACCATCGCAGTTCATGACTCATCTATGATCACATGCATGTTTCCAGGGCAAAGTTTAAATATCGCCTGAATATCATGAAAAAAATAAAATTTAGTATAAAGGACCCCAAATTACTTGTTTTTTCTTACCATCAGGAGGTAAAGGAGTTGTTCCTTGTTGAGGTTCTGTATTGCTCATGACAGGGCCGTGGTAAGTGATGAACTCCCTACTGGGTGCAGAGGCTGGGGCCTTACTCAAGTTGTTGGGGTTGTGTTGCCGCCTCTGCTGCAGAAGTCCATACCTGCGGGCGTATGCCTGATCACTTGCACTGGCTGGTTTCCTCTGGTGGGAGGCTGGGTTAGTGTATGGCTGTGTGTGGGCCTGTGGGGGAGCCACCCGGGTGTTGTATATCTGTCCCAAGGCTGCCCCATCAATATAAGTACTGGACATAGTGGCAGCCTGTCGAGGCTGGGATGAATGTTGTTCATTTGACTGGATAGCTTTCTCTGGTTCAACAACAGCAGTTGATCCACTACGATTCAGACAAGTCCGTACTTTGTCCCAGAGAAAGTTAATCTCGTCGTCTGTTGGTGTTCGGTCAACACGCATCCCATTTTCATCGTACACAGGCGTATCATATACTTTGCCACCAGCACCAACCCCTTGAGACGGAGGAAAATGACTGACAGATGGCTGTTGATGGTGAGAATTTGTTTCATTTTTGTTTGAAGCCACAGAACTTTTGTTGGAAGCTGCAGCATTGTTTAGTCTGGACAGATTATATACCATAACCTCTGACCCACCAGGGGAGCCATTGGCGCCCTTTCCATTCTGTACTGGAACTTTACTCATGAAATTGTTGTTGGTCACAGTAACAGATTTGTCTGTCGTGCCGTTGAGCCCCATCGCTGGTGTTCTGTTTTGGGTTATGATATGAGCAGCTGCCTGTGGTCGTATCGTTGACTTGTGTTTCTGCGGCCCAATCCATGTACGGTGGATGCCAGCACTGGCCACACGTGGTGGTTTTCCTGTGGGTTCTGCCGAGGTAGTCTGCATGACTGCCTTGGCTGATACAGGACGCTGGGTGTAACCTGGTTACAAAATATAGAGGGTTTATCGACTTAAACATGCATATGCATACAAAATACCTGGCAAGAAGCTTAAGCAATACATAAATAAGACCCTTTTCCAAGACATCAGGAAAGAGGAAGAACCTCCCCCCGACTCAATTCAAATGTTAACATTAATCCTACCATAGCTAAGAAAAAAATGTAGGACAACTTAAGCTTCAACTTTACAAATGAACCTTGTTAAAAGATTCATCACTGTCAAATGATAAGGCTGTTGGTTTTGATAAGTAAAATTCATCCATTGGATGACAAACCTGGTTTTCTGGAGAGATAATCGTTCTCTGTATGCTCCGCTTCATCATCATCTTCATACAAATCATGGTCAGCAAACCTTACGCTTTTCTTTTTGGGCAACTGTAATGAGTCATATTGAAATATAGCAGGTGAATACTCTGATTACTCAAACAATTATGATGCTAACACCAAGGATGCCATTGATAAGACAATCAGACAAGTACCTATTGACTGAAAATCAATTAATAATCCGAGTTTTCCAGATAATATACCTGGTAATTGAAAAATCTATTTTTTATTAATTTCATCTTAAAATTCACCTCCTCCAGTTTGTATTTTTAAATGTACATGAACAAGAAATATAGTATAATTTTGCATTGAATTGGGTCACAAAAAAGTAAAAAAAA